ACATGGGACCAGTGGCTCTTCCAGCTCTTTTAACAGGCTGCCTAGCAAAAGGCCACTCTGAGGGTGAAACAACGTTTCTGGGGATACTGGGAGCACAGGACTGAGAGCAGGAAACACTGTCACTTTGGTTTGCTTCATCTCCTTTCTCTTCTCCCTTTTCTTTGTTATGCTCAGGCTCTGGCAGCTAATCTGAGTATCCATGGTTGTTATCACAATACCATCATTTGTAGAAACAAAATCATGCCTTGTAACTCGAATACAGTTGCCACAAATGACATATGTTATTGGGCATCCTATTTCTAATAATTGTAATTATGCCGGAATACTTGCTGCCCTTATAACAGCAACAATCGTCCACCAGTTCTTCATTCCAGACCAATAACTTTGCCTGAATATGTTCTTTGTTCAGGAAAAAAAGAGGTAATTCAACATTCCTGGTAATAGTCAACAAAGCCAATGTTGAAAGTGGAAGAGACACAGGTGAAAGCTTACCAAAGGATACAAGGTTGTGCTGGGAAGGTGAAAAACCACCTGGCAGCCTCATTCCTGGTTAACAAAAGGACTCTGTCTGCATCTCCCCAAAAAGGGTAAAGGAAAAAGGAGACCCCAGGGACTTCCAGAAAGTCACTGAGGCCTGTGTCTCCCATGCATTCCAAATGGTAACTCTGGGTCTAATGTCCAGAGGAGCTGCTGACCCTGAGGCTATGAGGCACTCTCTAGGCACAACTGAGAGCCCTCAGCCTTGTCATCGCTCTCTTCTCTCCTCTCCTCTCTCTCTCTCTCAATAAGAACACTTCCTGGGCAAGGGTTTCTCTTAGGTGCTTTCCAGTTTGTTTCCATTTACAATTATAGAATGTCAGAGATCATGTAGACCCATGACCTTGTTTTATGGATCTCTAAATACAGATCTTTCACACATCTTTAAAGCTCTCATAGCAGCGTTGGGATAATGAAAGATGAATAGTTGTATCAGACCTGTTGTAGTCTGGATCTAGGTGGCTCACAGTGGCCGCGATATGTTAAAGGCTTGCTCCCCAGTGTGAGGCTTTTGGGAAATAATAATGGAAACCTAAAGAGGCAAACTTTATGGGTGGTTTTAGGTTACTAGGGGGTTTCCCTGAAAGGGGACTGTGGGACAATGATATCTTCTCTCTTTTTTACTGTCTGACTGCCATGTAGTAAACAGTTTGCCCTACCAAATATTTCTCACCATGAAGTACTTCCTTGCCATTATCTCACAAGAGATGAAAGCACCTGACCATGGACTGAAACTCCAAAACTGTGAGCCATAATAAACCTTGGTTCTGTTAAGGTTGATTTATCTCAGGAATTTGTTACAGTGGCAACAACTTGATTAACAGTAAATAATAAAACTCTGGAGTATAATGCTGTGAATAAGTTCTTCCCTTGGAATCAAGAGAGGACACTTGTGGCTGGGGACTTCCATAAAGCCACCTTTCAGGTGTGTATTTTTCTTTGTTTTCCTTTCCTCCTGCTTTGTCTCTGCCCAGAATCAAAGAACACAAAACAAAACTCCAAGGGAAAAATTGGATATTTCCATTAGTGGTAGCCAGAGAATTTGTTCTGAGTCCTGAAGACAACAACCTCCTTCCCAAGACCCAAAATGGTTAGAGTTAGTCAACACTTCCCATAGACTTAATTTACTAATTTTCCCTTTGGTACATTCACCAGGAAGGTGTTGCTTTTGCAGCCACATGAGGTGGTCAATTCTGGCTTCACCATTTTCACATTCAAAATGGCCCTGGTATTGAGCTGGGAAGTTTGTAACTCTAAGCTTGGACCAGAAAAACATCCTCAGAGTTTCTTTCTCTTAAAGTAAATAAACATCCTAGATAAGGAGGACTTAAAGTTCATTCCACACTACGTATGATAAGGGAGATATGGCCAATGCCAAGTTACTCTGGATCCCCTCTCTATCAGCTTTCCAGGCTACCATAATGATGCTCTTTGAAAGTGGAAAGATTGAACAGTAGCAGCAGTAGGTGGGTCCCTGTCCATGTTGCTGTACTGGCCACATTGCTCCAGGCCTGTTCCTTCTTGGGGGCTGTGATGGTTAATCTTGATTGTCAACTTGATTGACTTGAGAGATGCTTAGGAGCCTTTGTAAAGTGTACTTATTGGTGTATCTGGGTAGAGTATGGGGTCGTGACCTTGAGGACTATATCTACTCCTTGGTCCCTTCCTTTCTGGCTCTTGCCCTTCTCTCTGCTTCTTGGTTGCCATGAATGGAGCAGCTTGCCATTATGCCCTATGTCATGAGCTTTCTGTCTCGCAAAGAGCTGACCATGTACTGAGCCAAAAGAAACATTTCTTCCTTTAAGTTGTGTATGTCAGGCATTTGGTCAGAGCAAAGAGGAAAACTAAGATGGGGGCCCCGGCATCAAATCCTCTGCAAGGCTGTCTGTTCCTAGCACATTGTGCCTGGGTCAGACACTGAACAAGTTTTGTGCTCAGCTCCCTGTCTGGGTACTTGAATCCACCATTTTTGCCACAGAGATCCCTGCATTTCACTGGGAAGGATGGTTGGCTTTTGATTTTGTTCTCTTCCTATTCTTTTTTGGGGCAGCAGATGCAATCTCCTTTTGTATATTTAAAAGAAAGAAGCTTGGGATGAGTGGAGCAAACAAAAGAAAGAGCAGAAATTACAAACCTCCTTCAAGGTAATTAAATGATTAGGGGCCTTTGAAATCTATCAGATAGCTCAACTGTTCTGCTTTCATTTTAGTCTTGGATATCTCTATACAGCAAACCTCTGGCAGATATACTCATCAGGAAAGCTAGAGAGAGGCTGGAAGCTACTTTGTCCTGTTTCCCATCAGGTTACTTGCAGATTTCAGATGGAAACCAGACAGGATGCTTCCTTGGACTCTGTCACCTGGTCTTGGGGGTTAGTCTACCTGCCCTTCTGCTCCTGTGCCCAAGATAAAGGTTTAGTTGGGTTGATGAGATCATGCAGCCTTTTGCCAGCTTTTCATGCCAAAGGTATGCCTGTTGGCTGCCTGACTCACATCTCTCCTATTACCCTTAGATCCAACTTGTCTTTGTTAGAGAAAAGCACAGAGGTGACACATACACAGGAGACTCACATTCCTGCTTAGAGCCAAGATGTAACTGCTTTCTTCCCCTTTCCTGATTATGAATCAGAGCAGCCACTTCCAGCCAGGCAGACTCCTTGCAGAGGAAGAGGGTCTTGTGTCTGTGGTTCCATAAGCTCTTCTTGTTTCCATCTGAAACCTGCCAGGATCTTGCTAGAAGTTGAGACAAAGTAGCTTCCAGCCTCTCTCTAGCTTTTCAGACTGCTGTATCAGGCAAGGGTTTATGTGTGGAAAGGCCCAAAGGAAAAAAAAATGAAATAAAATGCCATTGAGCTATATGCTGTATTTCGAAGGCCTTGAATTATTTAACTGTCTTGATGGAGATTTTCAGATTTTTGCTTTTTCTTTTCTGGATTGCTCCCTTTGTCCCCCACTCAATCAGGATCATTCTCCCTCCCTGTCTCTATCTCTGATGCCTTCACCATCCCCTGCTTCTATCTAAAATCAGTCTCTCTGCCAACTCCCCACCTGAGAGTCCTCAGCCATCAAGACCCAGGTCAAGTGAGATTTGGGCTTAAAATTTCTGTCAGCCACAGTTTTTCTGTCCCTCTGCAGGACAGGAGCCCAGCACAGCAGATGTGAGATGGGTATGTATCACCTCCCCTTTCAGTCTCAGGCACACAAGAGCCACCCTCTTGCCATTCAGGGTCCAGCCAAAGTTGGGACTCCTAATGGAGCACAAGGCTGGTTGAGGGGGAAAAGTGTTGTTATACACCTCTCTGTTCTCTTCGTGCCCCCCCCATTGCAGATCTGTGCACCGGGGCAGTCCCCTGCTTGTAACACCTGTGCAGGTGTTTGAAGGGGCTAGAAGGTATATGCAGGAGTTGGACCAAGGAGGTAAAGGTGCTAGGCCTGCTTGAGTCTGACATGGGCTGGGAGGGAGCAGGCCAGGCTGGCTGTTAGTTAGGAAAGCTCCATGATGTTACCAGAGAAATCAGTAGAACCCAACGAATGCTGCATATATTTATAATTATACTTTAGGTATCTCTTGTACTATTCCAAATAAAAGCATTTGAAAGTACCCCTTTGCTCAGAACAACTCATGACTCATGCAGCAGTGAGAGCCACACAAGCTCATAAGAACCACCATAATGCATGGACAACTGATTTTTCCAAAGTTTCCACTGACTTTGGGGTCTTTGCCCTTATGTTGATATTCTAAGAAAGGTCACAGCATGGGCAGAAAGCATTTGCATTTTGGTAATGAAGAGTTTCAAGAAGAAGAATAAGAACGAGAAGGGAAAAGAAAGACAATGCCTTAGCCATGGAGTCCACCTCTCCCTTGAGCATTTGCAGTAAGGGAGCAAGGGAGCAAGGGGCAGAGCATCACATTCTCCAGGAGGGCTTGTGAAACCCACACTGGCTGAGCTCCTCCTGAAGCCTGGCTGGCTGGAGCAGGCACATTTGCTCATGGGACTGAGACACTGTTACTTCGGGAGCCATACTCTAAGAGCTGCTGCTCTGGCTGATTCTGTCATTCATTCTTATGGCTCTGCTCCCTTTACTAACTTGTGATCTTTGTTCTTCATTCACCTCTGAGAGACTGAAGAGGAGCCTGCATATAGTTCTGTGGTGTACTTACAATTATTTCTAGAAAACTTTCTCCATCTCTCTGGAATTGTTCTAGAACTTACCTGATGTGAGGGAGCTCTTCCTGGCCAAATGGTCTATCTGTAGCTGAACCACCCAGGACTGACCCAGAACCAGTGGCCTAGTGTAGAGTTTAGCCTCGTCACTGCTTTCATGAAGTCCCCCTCAGTGACCCACTAGGGAGGAAGACGTGGTTGGGGGTTTCCTTTGGCATCTCCTCTTGAGAGAGAAGGCCTGTCTTTGTGGCCCAAACTCATGGCAAGGACTGCTATTATCCGGACATTAGGGACCTACCTCAGGCAGCTTCACACGGCCCTCCTGGAAGGAACACGTCTTGGGGTCGTGGGTGCATACATGCCGGTATTTACACCAGTGGCAGCGGTATGGGCTCTCCACACAGGACAGGCACCTGGGCACAGGGGAGGAGAGGCACAGATCACAGAACTGGGTGAACCCCAAAGCACCAAGCCTAAGTCCCTTGGGTCTGGCAAAATATTGCTATTCAGAGAAACCACCCTCAAACACAAGACAGGGAACAACTCCTTGGCCAAGGGATATTTGGCTGGGTCCTTCCCCCATGAACCTCAGCACTGATGTCTCTGGGACTACCTTGGCATCTTGTATTATACCTCATTTTTGGATGTCCAGCTCTTTCATGAGTCCACTAGGATATACATTCCAGGAGGGCAGGGACTGAGTCTTCCAGTTTTATTAATTTTAATCACTCTGTATCTAATGGCATTGTTTTGCACATAGCAATGCTTAAAATCATTTAGAAGATGGTATAGAAGCTTCACAAATGATTTCATCTATCTATTCTGCTTTCCTAGGACTAAGAATGGAGGGAAAGATTAGGCAACCAAGAAGTGAAGTCCAGGGAAGCCCCATATGCCAAGAAGCCAGAAGAGGATTCCCTAGTGTTGAAACAATTTGTTTCTGCCTGGGAGGGCTGGGCACCTCCCTCCATGTGAAACTAAAGAAAGCTAAGCTCTGGACTCACAGTTGCCTTAGCCAGGATTGACAAGCCCTAAAGTTCCAGCAATTACCTGTCTTGCATGGATAGGAACCCAGAGTGGCACATCAAGCAAGAATGGCATGAAGAGGTCAAGCCCTGTGGTTCCCAAACTGTGCTCTATTAGGACCCTGAGGATTCCATGGAGCTCCTTTGGAGAACATGCAAGGAGCTGTGGAAAGGCTCACGAAGAGGGGTTCTAGGCCCTCTCAACCCTCCACCAAGTCACTTCTACTTCCATCTGCTTTGTACATTGGGCTTCTACACCAATTTCAGATGAGAAAAGGTGTCTATGCTGAAAAATAAAAAAAGCCTGCACATCAACAATGGGTAGCCCATCCCATCATATTAGAGAGGAAATACTAAGGTAATAAGAGCAAACAATGAGCAGTGCTTGACCAATTGGTCCAACAGGGTTCTGATTTTGTCCTGTGTCCTGGCTCTTTCACCCATCATAGCTTCTAACAGAAGTAAGGCACCCACACAGGGACAGCAATCAGCTCATGGCTGCTCTGATGGGACAGGGTCTGGGCAATGTCAGTTGCTAAACCTCTGCTGCTAGCTTGGAAAAAGTACTCTTATTGCTTTATCGAGGATACCAGAGCACAAAATGATTACCTTTCCTAGCTATAGTGACTCCACATTCTGAGCCTCTGCCCTCCTTACCTGCTATTGGAACAGAAATGCTTAAGTCAAACAAACCCAGAGCCAGGCGTTTTGACCTTCCCTGCATACCTCCGGATTCCTCTGGCCCCTTGGCACCCTGTGTCTGACTGGGCCTCAGGGCCTAGTGGTAGTTGTATGAGTTGTTAGACCATTTCCCTCCCTGGATACAGATAGGGGCTTTTCTTGCTTCTCTGGGCCCTCCTCTAAGCGTGGTGCTAGATGCTCTATTCTTTGAGTGAGACGCACCTCCAGGAGATAGTGGAACACAATCGATTAAATTAGACAGACAGATTTACGCCAGAGAAGGTGCATGAACCAGGGATTTGGAGAGCTCAGTTCTCAGTCTTGTGCCTTCTCGTTTCCATTAACCCTACAAATACTGGAGGAAAAAGGCCCATCCCCTTCTGGGGCAAATGAGGCCTCCATAGTGACTCCATGAAACTGTGGTGGAACCTTCTCATCTCTGCACAAATTTGATCCCAGCAACAGGGAGCTGGGTGAGGCTGGGTCACTTACGAATTATGGACACTGCAGTTGTAGAAGACGAAGCTGGTGCTGGCAAAGGTCATACCCGTCTCTTTGGACTTAAGTTGCAGCTGTACAACATGGTGGTCCCCTACAAAGCAGAGCCATCCAAGAGATTATGGTCCCACTGGCAGGCATGCACCCTGGGAATGGGGAACTTGCCTGCTGGGGTCCCATCAGCTCTCATAGGTCTCTGATTCATCAAAGCCCAGCCGCAGGGCAATCCCCAAAGCAGAAACAGAGTGCTGTTTGAGTGTGCTCTCCCTTCCACACTTCAGCACTTGTTGGCCTCAAGTGCTGATCACCCCGCCGCCACCCACGCACAGTGTACATACAGAGAGGCAAGTATTCGAGTGTGCCATGTCCTTGCCAGCCTCACAGAATCACACACACACACACACACACACACACACACACACACACACAGATGAGCAACCGGGAAAAACAACACACCACCTCCACCTCACTGTGTAGGCTGCTGCCACAGCTACACAGTGGTCGGTATGTACAAGTGTATGCACACAGGAGCCCATTTTCCATCTCTGTCAAGAGAGACCAGTTCTCATTCTGCCTTCTCTCAGGAACCCAGAGCTCCACAGAAGCAGGAGACACTGGAATCCCCAGCTGGCACCAAGCAAAAGCTGGAGCCCATGTTTAATTCACAGTCCTGACCCCAGGCCCCTACTTCCAGCCTTGTTCTCTGCCTTCTGTGAGCGCCTCATTAATCAATCATCTCCGAACAAATGTGACAAGCCCAAATGGGAGGGACAACATGGAATCAATCTGCCCAGGCTCACCAGTGCTGAGCCTCTGTCCAGTCCCATCTTTCCCAGAGCAGCTGAACAGAAACAACAGGCAGCTGTGGGAAGGTAGGGGAGGAGAGGGCAGCTCCAGGTCAGAGACCCAGTCATGTGAGCAGAGGGCTCCAGAGCCTGTTGTCTCCCATCCTCCCATCCTGGCTTCCGACTGCCTTCCTCTTTCGAGGCCACTGCAGGCCAGCCAAAGTGGGCTCTGCTGATGTCCTGGCCATGTCTTCACCCACCCTCTCTGCAGCTACTGGGAAGCGGTGGATTCTTGGGTGCTCATTTGGGACTGAGACAGAAGTCCTCTAACAGCTGATTCCAAGGGCAATGCAGGGAAACTTCATCCTCCCCTTCCTGAGTATGTAACACACTCAGCAACTCACTTCCTTCGAGCTACCCCTGCCCATAGGCTCCCTCAGTCTCCACGCATCTGTGATGAGTTCTTCTACATAGGAAGGAGGAAGCAGAGCCTGCTACCTAGCTTTGCCTTGAGGGAAGGAAGGACTCACCATTTTCTGTGATGATCCGGGGCACCTCCTTGGCTGCGGGTGAGTAGCAATGGATCTGATTGCCTACCACGAGCCCATCCATCTCTGACAGGTCCTCAAAGGTGCAGTTGACACCCGCTGACAGCTCTGGGACATTGTATGTCTCCAGGACCAGCTGTGAACAGCCAGGCAGGGAAGAGAGAGGAAGAGCAACAAATGGAGAAAGAAAAGGTATGGGATAAAGGAAACAGTATAAGAAAAAGAGGTAGACAAAGGAGAGGCAGCATTAATATAGAGTAAGAGAGATCAATTTTGTTACAAAAGCAATGTGGAGGAGGTGGTGGGATGGAAAGAAAGACAAAAGTAGTTTTATTAGGATCTGAATATATTTGGCCTCAGCAAATGGGAATGTTTAGGGAATTTGTGTGGTGAGAGAACACGGCACAGGATCTCATGCATTAGTCCCAATTTTGGAAAAACTGCACCACCAATTACTAAATACCCAGTGCTAGAACTGGGACTGCATCTGCACCCCTTTCTCCATCTGCATATGCATTGTTCTCTCTCTCTCATTTTTAGATGTAGATATCATTCCCAGAACCCTTTGCCATTCTTTTGATCATTTTTGGTAGGACCATTATCCTTATCTTTCTACTTATTATGAGTGAAGCCTCTTCATGGATACTCCTACCCAAGTTCCTTTCTTGGGTCTCCAATGCATAGCTACTAGTAACGTCCCCTATCCTAATTCAGAGGTGCTCTTCCAGCTAGACTTGGTCCAGTCCTCCTGAGGAGTCTTGGACTTAGATGCCTTTTGGTGGGAAGAGCTCTTCCTCCTGGACCCTCCCCCTTCTCACCAGCACGTTGTACTGAGAGACGGAGATGTTGTTGGGATGAACTGTCAGCCGGACACACTGCTTCATCTCTGATGCAAACCTGCGGGGCTCCCTGGATCGCTCACACCGTTCCTTCCGAGTACACCTGTGAAGGAAATACCATTGGGTTACTCAGAAGATGACCACTGGGTCCAGGGAGGGACCAGTGCAGAGGTCAGGCGATTCCAGCAGCTCTCAGGATACGTCCAAACTCAACATGCTCAGATCTAACCATTCCATTTCTTTCCTGAAGTCCTCCATTCCCACGCCCAAGTCTGGAAAAGATAGCCATTCTTCCTATCGTTCAGTCAATGCAAAAACCGGAGAGTCAGCCTAAATTCCTCTCCTGACCTCCACATTCAGATCAGGAGTTGGCCAGTCCTGTCTACTCTACCTCACCACGCATCCTTAGCTATTGCCACCCTTCTCTTCTTTTCAGCAAACTGAGGTTAACTCCTGTGTCTTTAGGGGGTGGAATAGAAAAATACATTGACTACTGTTACCAAGTGCCATCCAACAGAAAGTCAGGCTTGTAAAAATATTATGGTTGCCCTCATTCACTTTATTCATCGGATCTGACACCATGTGACTGCTGGCTCTTCCGCAAAGTCAAAGTGACCATGAAAGGTAAATGTTTCGAGTCAAGTGAAGACACTGAGGCAGCCATGACAGCTCAGCTTCATAGACACTCATGAAAAAGGAGAACCGCTTCGGCAAGTGGCAGGAATGATGGGATAAATATGTTCGAAATGAACGGAAGTATTTTGAGGGAAGTTAAGAGCAACACGTCTTCTACTGTAATATTTAAAAATTTAAACACACACCAGATTTTTCAGACTGCATCTTCCAGACTTCTACCTTGCCTTTGCATGTGCCACTTCAGTTCTTCTGTTTGGATTTTCCCACCTTCCCTAGCAGACAGAAGATAAATTCAGGTGGGTGGGAGAGAGAGCAAGAAGGATCAGAGGAGCTGGAGTAGTAGTTAGAGCACACTCCACGTGGAGATTTCAGTCGTATGTCACTGGGGAACTGCTGTATAGATTTGCCATTATTGTTTAATGCTCTGTGTAGAACAAAGTGTACCATGTCTAGTGTGACCTGCGATCTTACACTCTTCTCTGATGAGGGCTTATGAAAGATACACATAAAAAAATGAGCCATGCCCAGATGCACACATCCCATGAGTTCACTGCATGGAGCTATATAAGTTTCAGGAAACAGTATTTAATGCAAGTCAGATGACCCTTTTGAAGACAGGACTTTGCAGAGTGTTTGCAGTTGGGTTAGTCTGGACTAGTGATTCTCATATGGGGTGAGGACAAGTAAGAGGGATGAATTGAGACAAGATAGAACTGTGGAGAAATCACTCCCAAGTTTCTCTTTTAGTCAAAGAGAAAATGAAAGTATCAGGATTGCTGTGGGACAGAAGGAAGTCCTGGTGGACATTTGGAAGGAAATAGAGCAATCAGGGATAGGGAGTCTCCCATGGCGTGGACACACGTGGAGAGGGCACATATGTTTCACATCTTTGGTGTGGGCTAAAGAGATGAGGGAAAAGTGTCCCCTGGACACCTTGAGTGATTCTTGAGGTTACTCTCAGGCTCAGAGGAAACTGTGAGAGCTCATCCTTTCAGCCATGGGAAAGAAGACACCTTTGTCCACAGCAGGAGGGCCAACATGAGGAGACTGGCCAAGAGGAGAATCTGACCGCCAAAAGGGAAACCACTGAAGGCAATGTATTAAACCCACCCTACTAAGAGTGAGATGCAAAGAAGACAGACAAAAGGAGGACCCTAGAATAGGTTGGGTGTATAATGCCAAAGAATAAAGCAACCCTGAAGAATGCAGCGGTGGCCACTAGTTCTGAGTGGTTACAAGAAACTGTGATTAGGGCTTTACATTCCATGCTACTTCTATTTAGTGACAACACCTTGACACACCCTCCTTGGAGGTCAAGAAACTGCAGAAGAGCCAGGTAAGTAACCTGCTGAGGCCAGCAGCTAGTCAGAGATAGATCAGACACAGAGGAACTCAGAGTCTCTTCTCCCTCCCACCGTGCCTAGTTCCCCAAAGCTTCTAGACTTGATGTGAGGGATGGACCCTCCTGCTGCAGATTAAACCCATTTTCTTTGCCACTGTCCTTACAGCAATTTAAACATCTTCCCTCCATCTTTTTCTTTTGGCTAGGGGCTTTTCCTGCTGCCCCCTGGAAAGTACCTTGAATATTACTGCAACTTGCAGAACAAAGCTGAATCCTTTAGGATGTCAGTGAGAGACAACAACACACATGGAAAAGGTCAGATGTGAGTCTGGTTATCCCTGTGGCACTCACTGGCTGCTCTAGCAGACCAATGGCAATGAAAGTGTCTGCCTCAAAGTCTTGGGAGTTAATTTACCAGGCCAGCTCTTCTGCGAGGACTCCATTACCTTCAGCCATTAAGCTAATGTTATGGACTTTGCCAGAGTGTCTGCACTGACATCGCTATTAATAGTGTTATTACTCCCATTAACAGCAGACCCAGAGAGCTGGTATGGGCTTGAATTATTCACTGACTCCCCAACTTTGAAGTTCCTGTTTCTAAGAGCAATCAGTAGATCTAAAAAATGTCTTTGATTAAATTATGAAGAGAGAAAAATGGAGCTGCTTTCAGGCCAAACATCACCTGGAGTTGCCAAATACAGATTCAGAGAGAAAAGAAAGGAGTCCTTCTCTCTTGCAGGGTAAGAGGGAGCAAAGCTATCTCAGGACAAGTTTGATCCGCATTATTTGCTGCTTCTAAAGTTCAGAGGGTTTCATCCTACCAGTGCTCTGGAGAGGCCCAAACTAATTAATTGTCATCTTGCCCCCAAATATAGGGAAACCATGTATAGTTTACAATTTTAAACATCCCATCTAAGGGTAATCTTGGGCCAACCAACAACTTAACCTCTTGGTTCACCCATATTCTCATCTATGAAACAGGAACAAAACAGTAGCAACCTAATGTGGTTTTTATATGAATTAAATGATATTATGTGAGCAAAACATTTAGAACAGGACATAGGTCAAAATAAGCTCTCAATGAATATTAGCTCGTATTATTAACCAACTTTTTGTCTGCCTTCTCCATTCTACCTCTCCAAACTCTAACTGATATGGAAGCACCAATCTTCTCACAGAGCAGCTCAGGGGGCAAATCAAAGACATAAAGGGAAGGATGTAGCAGTTCTCCTCATAACAAGGGAGGAGGGCAACCCAGCAGTCAGGAGGGAGAAAAGAGGGAGAAAGGAGTAGAGGTTGTAGCTTTGTTTTCTTAATAGCTGTCAAATGGCATTGAGAACTTAGCTATCTTAGTGTAAAGTCAAGTTTAAGGTCGGAGCCACGGATGTTTTGACATTTCTTCTATATTTCAGGGCTCAGGAGGGTGGAGGCTTGAAATGTCCAAAAGCACAGACAATTGACTTTAAATGTGATAGGATAAGGGAGAGGAAGAATGCACTCCTTCTGATGTCTTATGAAGTCTGTCAGAGGAATGGTCTTTTGCTCTTCCAGGACTGTGATTTCTGTAATTTCCCATTAGCCCAGGCTAAGGCTGAGAAATGTTCAAAGGGTTAATTCATGACTCCTGGAGGGGATACTGGGATGTTCCTTCCAAAGGGAATCCAAGTTCTTTCAAAAGCATGTACCCATCTCTCCCCATCTCCACTGTCCGGGCATTCTTGAGGTGGAAGGGAGATTGTTCTTTATCCAGTTCCCAGCTAGGAACACTGGAATTTATATAGACTGAAAAAAATGCATGCTAGGTGAATTCAAATTTTTCAGACAATTGTCCCTGCCACCATCATTGTCCCTCCTGCCCCAAACACAGATTTGCTGATAGCCAGCAGGGAGCAGATCTCAGGGAGACTCAGCAGCCTCCTAAAGTCGAAGATCTTTCCCAGTGAGCTCTTCTTTCCTCCCTCCCTAATTCTACTTCCTCTGTACAGCAGCCCCTCAGCCCCAGATCAGAGGTGCTAACAACCCTTGGAGAGAAAGACTCAGGATCCCTGGAAGGGGTTATTATTCAAGCCAGTGGTTCCAATGAGATTATCCTCTCTAATGAAGCAGCTACCTCCGCCCTCCCCTAAGCCTGAACTTTCACTGCTGGAGAATTCCCAGCCAAGTGGAAAATTAGACGGGGAGAGGAATGGAGAAAGGAAGGGGATGAGGGAGAGGGAGAGAAGTAGTGATTAAGTTTAGTAGAAATTAATTCCTAAATACAGATATACAAATATTAGTTCCCTATGCTGTTGGCCAGGCAAGCAAATAGGCTTGGAAATGAGGTTCTCAGTGAGACTGGCCTGGGTGAGCGTCCACACTAGAGTTGTCATTGCTGGCCCATCTTCCAGGTCCTCCAGCATAGGCCTCCACTGGGTGTGGATATCAGAACTTGCTCCTTCCACTCCCACAGATGGTCCCCAATCCTAAATACTTCATATTGGCCATGGCTTTTGCTTAGAGCGCAACGCTGGGGAATCTGTGTTTGGAATGCAAGGAGACTGAAAAAGAATAGAGATGGGAGAGGGGACCTTCCCAAGTGGGTCTTGCTACAGTTTTGATTTTGAATGTTCCCTAAAGACGCAAGGGTTGAAGGCTCCCTTGTCAGCTTGTGGCATTATTTGGAGATGGTAGAGTGTTTAGGAAATAGGACCTAGTAAAAGGTTGTTGGGGTGTGTCTAAGGTTTTGAGGTCACCAAGTCCAGTAGGCTAGGTGCAGGGAAGTACTCTGTTCTGTGCAAGCTGGGCTGCCCTGCCTCGTGTGGCCCAGAGGGTGTGCTGGTATGTAGGGGCGTATTTGTCTAGCCTTAAAGAGAGTCCAGCTAGGCAGGCTGTCCCCAGGGAGTCAAGTTATCAGCCGGGAGGTGCACTGAAGGCTTAAGGGGACCACAGGGATTTCTAATTCATATGAGAAGATGGCACTTTTGATTTATCACCCTTTGGTGATGAAGCATGTATTTGTACATGTGCATATATGTGCATGTGTGCATGTGTGTGGGTGAACTGGGAGTTAGGGAAGGCTGAGGTTAAGATAGATAAAATAAGTTTCCTTAAGTCATACTAAATGCCCACTGAGCCATGGGGAGAAAAATTCACATATACTGGAGTTGAGTCTGGGACTCTTTTCTCTGGACCAGAAACTGACATTTTTAGAGTCAAAGAAGACCAATACAGAGACTGAAGAATTAGCTGTACAGAAGAGAATACTAACAATTCCTCCTGACTATGTAGATCTTGTCACTGGCCCTAGAGACCACTGATTTAGTAGGTTAGCATTAAGTAGCTTTTGGATATAAGTAAAGAAAACAAGAAATAAAACAAGGCTATGGGACATGCTAAGGAGAAGTAAGGAAGGACTCACATTTTAGAATCTGGTTGTCCTTCATTAAGAGGACAATCAGCAATGGCTTATGGGATGAGCTGGTCACTGCGCACTTTCCTTGGTGGCAGGTGGGTACACTGCCTACATTCCATGGCTGGTTGAAGCTGCCTAAAAGGAGGAAGACTCAGAGAGTAGAATGGTCCCAGCCACCCCCTTCAGTTGTAGGGAAAGGAAGAGGGGAAAGGTCCATGGAGGGGCTCTGCAGTCCAACGCAGCCCACACTGACATGGTTACAGTTGTCAAACTGCTTGAGGCATAAGCAAGGACTTTCTATACACCCCTCCTTTAGCTTTTGTGGCGTGGCAGTGCAATGGTTCTTTTCATTGCTGTTCAGACCTGTAGCAGCTGAATCCAGACTGTGTCCACACAGAGATGTGTTCTTAGGTTTAACCCATCCTTCCCATGCCGGATAGGAGTATCTTTCCTTTTCCTCCACTCCCTGCTTCTTGGCAAAGACTAGTAGAAGAAGACAAGGGAGATCTGGAAAGGAGCCCACGCCAACACACTGGGGAGGGCCTTCTTCCAACAGGAGAGATCAGGAAGGAGGTGGGTCCTCAAGGGCAGGAGGCTTTATAAAAGCAGAGCCAATCTTCTCCCTGTAATCTTGAGTTACATGAGCTTCCCAGAGGTGATGTTGATGACTCCCTGAAAAAAGAACTGTCTGGGCCAATCGATGTGTCAGGGCCTGCTGGCGGGCGGGCTCCCATAACCTACAGACCTAGATAGGCTTCTGTGTCTGGGCATGGAGCCAAGGGAGAGGGAGCTGGCAGGGGGCTGAGGACCTGCTAAGTTTAGTCACTGGAGGGACACTGCCAGGCCCAGGACAGCCCACAGCTGTGACTGGGCTGTCGGCTGTCTTTCACCCTCACCCAAGTCAGAACAGGTGGGCTCAGGCATGGAGCAATTTCCTGGGAATACAGGCTCAAGACTCAGGGCCAAATAAATACCAGCTTTGTTGAGCTGTCATTGTTATTAGAAAGGGCAGGGCTAGGGGCTACAAAGAGGGCAGCAGTGGTGACCCATCTCACCACTGGGCTGGCAGGACAACTGGGGGAGCAACAGGAGGAGAGTTTAAATTACAGGAGCGGTTTTTAAGCATGTTCAGTCTGCAACCCTCTGGTGACCTTGCCAGTACAAAAGCCCATTCAGCCACGAGGGCCACCTGTTGGTAGAGGCCCCATCCTTAGGCTGCTAGTGCCTATGTTCACTCTCCTTGTCTCTTTCTGGCTTTCTTCTCTGTGTTTTTATCTCTCCTACACCACACAATCCACATACGCAAACACTGTCCTTCTCTTCCCACAGTGTTACAACCACCTTTCTCCTGAAGTTTCTCCCTGGAAACTTAGTCAAAGTGCCCGAGGAAACAGACTGAACTTCACACCTCAAGAAACTGTTCTTCTGCTCTCTGCCCTACTCTTCCTGAGAGCTGGACTTTCTGGGGCCTCTCTGTAAGGGATGGGGTCACTTAGCACGGGGTCTTGCCCATGATGGGAGCATTGCAAACCACATGGTCTTATTTGATTTTCCTATAACTCAGAGAAGTGAGCAAGCCTGACGTCACTATACCCAGGTCACAGGTGAGGAGACTGGCATACCACGGATGTGGCACTTGGATTTAGTGGCGGATGCTCATATTTTCTTTATGCCACATTGAGAGTGGAGCTGCCAGTCTCTCTGTACAGGCTGATGGCCTCCTTTTGGAACAGCCTACACTTCCCTTTATATTTTAGTACACTCTTCTGTTGGTACAGAAGGGGAGCCCAAGGCCACACAAATAGTGTCTGCTACCTTCTCTCATTCCTGCTAAACTCAGCCATGGGGACAGGAGCCTCTGTCATTTCTCAGAGGCTTGATGCCCTGACAGCTCAGAGGTCTCAGTGACATCTGGGGCCAGGACAGCATTGCAGCAGAGACCAGAGTGAACATGGAAACTTGCTTTTGGGTTCTGCAGGCCTAGAGTATCAGGGGGAAGTGGGGAAAATCTCCCCATTACCTCTGATGGATGCCTGCCCCACGCAGGAAGTAGCTGATCCATCCTTGACCACAGTGAGCCAGTAGGTTTGGTACTCAGTCTATTTTTGAGATGCCTCACCGTGTATGACAAGGAAAACACCCCTACTGCCTGTAAAACATCATCCAGGGGACTCTTGACTGACCAGAGCCCATCTGTACTTCATATGTATTCTTGCCAGCCTCTTAAGCAGGCCATGCTTAGGTACCCACTACTCATGGTTACCATGCAATCTTTGTGTCGACTTGAATGCACTCTCTGGTCTGTCATATATCTCAGTGTGGCTCAATGATTCTTCTTTTTCCCCACCATAAAAGACCTGAGGAATTTCATATATTCCCTTAAGGAACTCAAGTTCTTACTACACCTGAGATTGTCACTAGAGATGGGGAAGGAATTTGTTAAGATGTGTTAGAATTCAGGAGGATGTTTCTAACTTTCAGAATTGAAGAGAGTGTTTTTCCCTTTGGGAGGGGAGAGAAAAGAACCTACTCCCCCACTTTCTTATGCTTGAATGTTACTGGTAAATGCCATTATCACGTAGTGTTCAGTCTCTTAGTAGGAAAATGAAAGTCTTCTCCTCAATTGTTGCATGTGTTTAATGTGGAAAGTGTACAGTTTCAGGTGTTGATGTGAAACAATAGTTGCTCTGGGACCAAATTTCATTGGAGTAGGGTCAAACTATGGTTGTCATCTCTAGGTAGCAGTGCTGAAGGTCTCTGGATCCCTGCAAAAGTCCTTCAGTGCCAGGGATGTAGCTCAGTAGCACTACCCTTACCTGGGAAGTGCAAGGTCCCTAGTTCAATCCCTGGTACTGAAAATAAATAAATAAATAAATAAATAAATAAATAAATAAATAAATAAATAAATAAATAAATTAAAAAAAAAAAAGGCTTCTGTTTGCCTCCACTTATTTCTTGGCTGAGTATCTGTCCTCTATGTCCTACCCTTCAGAGTTCATTTACCATGCTACCATTTGCCTCCATTGTGACACTGCTGGCTTCCTCTGACTGCTACAGAACACAATGGAGCCAGCACAAGGGGAGGCACACTGGGTGTGTGCCAGCACTTGGGCCAGGCTTCCTCAGTCCAGTGATCCGGGCCCAATGCACTGATGGGTGTCTTGACAGCATAGGGAAGCTGCTTGGGTAGTATAACCTTGAACTGCACATCTAATATCAGGAAATTCTACGGAGAAATCAGAGGTATGGTAAGTAGACAGCACCTATACTGCAGCACATATACTGAAGAGATCCATGTAAAGCTTAAGAAACAAATCCACCTATAGCTACATCACAGTGAAGGAAATCTCAGCATCTTGCTTCCTCTGGCTGTGTAAGTTGTAATTATCTAGGGTAATACGTATATCCTGGTCTGTCACTGTGCCATGGAAATATGCTGCTATTTCCATGTATTTCTTATGGGAACTGAGCAATTTAAAGTGAAGTCAGAAAGAACAAATGAAGAGAGATACAATGGATTCAAGGAAGGACGAGTAAGAGAAGGGAAGGAGAGAAAAGAGAGCCAAGGGAAGGAAAGAGGTGGGAGAAAACAGGAGGAGGCAGGCACTCTTAGAGAGGAGGCAGGAAGCAGGAGACAGGAGGCTGTACTCACGTGTTGTGCAGCACACACCAGCCACAGTGGGGATCGCCAGAGCCAAGGCATTCACTACAGCTCCGATACTGAATGCAGGACTCCACGGGGACTCTGGTGAGCTAGAAGAGCACAACAGGGAGAAAGTGGTCAACAGCCACGCATCCACTGGAGGAGATGTTTTCTAAATATCATCATATCACCTGAAACACTGTAGGAGCATGAAGGTGTTTCGATGCCCAGGACCAAAGGAACTGAGTGATCCCATTGGAGCAGGTGGCTGCATAGCATTTGGTGGATACAAGCCTGTGCTAAGTTCTTAGAATTCACCGTCTCATTCACAGTGAGTTGTTATAAAAGATACATAGCATATTTTAAATCCCCTCACTCAAACCCCCAAACATCTCTGCGAACATCCAATCCAACACATTTTTGTTTCCCATTAATGTGGCACACTCGAATGTTCATTCTTACTCCATCTTTTGCTTCATAGTTTGCCAGTGTCTCCTTTTCTTTCCAGCCATTCCATCACATCTCTGTACTTCTGTTGTTGCAGAGAGCATGCAGCCCCACTAAGAGCTTTCTCTCCCCTTCTTCCTGTCCTTTACACAGGGTGCTTAACTCACTCCATAACTGCTCCTCATACTTTCTCACTTCCCCAAAATTTGGCCAACTGGCTTCCAACTGTCTCTACACATTTTTCACGATGGTGCTTTCACAGCACAGCCTTGCTATTTTCCCTCATGCCCACACCCTTTTCATGACTTGAGCTTTCCTCTCCCACCCAAAAACTTTATATTAGTTTTCATCAACAGATTGTTAATGTAAAATGTTAAAATGTCCCACATGGCATTTTTATTTTATCCCAAATGCTTCCATTTCCTGCGTGCTCTTATATATCTTTTGAATTTCTTTGTTCTCTAATGCAACTTTGCCTTGACGTCTCTTTATATGTTTCCCAGTACCTACTACGTAGTAGGTTCTTAATAAAGATTCTTGGGATCAAAGGGAATTTTTATTTTCTTTTTATAGCCTTAGTCTTTTGTCTCCATTTTGCCAGCTTCTTTTTTTTAAAAAAATTTGTTTGTTTTTTCCCTTAAATCATTCTTTACATTTGGGGTACTTTTTTTTTTTTAATCTCACTGGAGGACTTCCTGCTTGGTTTTTCAGCTTGAGCTAGGAGGATTTGATGAGGCTGTTATTTACAGTTTCTCTCCCTCAGACAATAGGCACAGAGGTCTCTACATGGGGCTGGCCTGGCTGGGCCCTCTCAGCTCATAACAAACACAGAAGCTGTGTTGTCCCTGCTGTTTCACAGGACATCTGCCTCTATAAAATTATGTCCACTTGGCAGGGGCTACTTGTGAATCATGTATAGGGAATCTGGCACCACAGCCTGCTCAATTACTCTCAAATCTCTTTTGGAATTAATTAATAATTAATTTCAAGCCCCACGTGATCTCTTTTCCCTTAATTTTCTCATTCCTTTTATAGGTCTGTTAGTTCTCTAAAATACACGTTTACCTTTCTTACTGACCACTCTGCATTTTCATTTCTTTCCAGTTAAAGTTTCTTCTTCCCATTTTTACAGCATTGCTCTTTGCCTTTCTTTGATGTCTTTTCTGCACATTTGGAATTTTACCTTTCCTTCTACTACTGCTTATGTAATCTGCATAGGCCATGCCTGGGCTTGACTGTACATGACCTTGCTGTCTTCATAATGAAACTTGATGATCAGCTTCTTACAAATTACTCCACTGGCTCCATATGAAGCCAGGAATTCATCCTTTTCTTTTGCCTCTTTAATTTCTCTCACACTCTTGAGTGAAGTTAGATGTGCCAGTCATCTAAGCACATACCTAATGTTTCCTAACCCAAAGGACATGGACTACTAGGCATTCATGAGTGGGAATGAAGTCCACAAAGCTATTTTCAATATTTCTAAAACCTAATGAGATTTGGATTGGTGCTATTTCAATATTTTTATGCATGCTCATGATGTATGCCCCATATTAAAAATACAAAATATATTATTACTTAATAAACACAGTTTGTTTAGTAGACATAATCTTTCAAAACATGATGCCCCGAGGGGGAGAAATAATAAAAGGGGCCATAGATGGTGAAAGTTGGAACCATAAGTGCATAATAATGTTTTCATATGTTCCAGCTGCTTGTCTGGCACTCCATATTTTGCATGGGCTTAAAGAGAAAATCATGGCTTGTTCAGTCAAAAGCATTTTCTTGGCCTAAACTTAATTAAATCTTCCCCAGTTTCTCCTATTGACAAGCTCTGTAATCTGTCTTGGATGGAATGTGCCCTAGGAGCCCAGGGTGTACCACTTTAAGTGAAGAGCCAGCTGCTTGGTAAATCTGAAACTCTCACAAATCTTTACATTCTAAAAATATCTTGCAACTGGTGTTTAATAATATCAAGACCCTGGAGTTGTAAAATCCTTCCTCTTATGATTTTAAACAGTAGTCATTTTGGGTTTGCTTGGAAAGCGTGTAGGATCCTGCAGAGTCAGGTTCAAAGCCTGGCTGTGCCATTTACCAGCAATGAGGTCCTGTTGTCTCTGGTATTTGTCACCCTTAAATGTGGAAAGAAAAATTCTCCTTAATTCAGTTTCTCAAACCTCAGTGGACTCCATGGCTCATAGTTTCAAAACCATTTTGTAAATGGCCACATGCTTTACAAGTGATGGCTATTATCACTGCTGTCTTTGCCAATAGGAACTCATTCCTTCACACTGCCACTTTACTCTCCATGTATACCCCCGAGAAGTGGTCTGAGGCCTCATGAACTCCACTGGGAGTTAGACAAACCTGGAAGCCTTTTTCTTCCTTAGTACCTTCATTGTTACCTTGAACTCTGTGGCCTCTGCTCCTAAACTATTCATTGCTTGGTCCCTACGACAAAACCCTTGTGACAAAACTCAGTTGTCTGAGCTCCCTGGACTTATTCAGAACCTTCATCAGCTCCCATGATAGCTATATTTGTGCTTTGATTTCATCTAGATGTGTCTATGTGGGACAGGGCAGAAGGTTTTAGCTGTCCCTTTGTCCTCAGCCTCCACAGGAATGTGAATCATTCTCTCTCTGAGCCTCTGTTTAATCATCTGTAAATGGGGGACTGGTGGGCCAAATAGAAACTCTTTCAGTTCCAATGTTTCTAGCTTCTTTTTAATGCCCAGACTAAATCTCCCTTGTTTGGTTTCAAAGACACATGCAATTATGGCATCACACCACTTGTAAGAAAATATAACCTTGAAGATAATCACCTGAGCCTCTACACCCTTCGCTTCTTGAAGGCAAACAACCCAATTTAAAAAAAAAAATTCCTTGCAAGTTCTTTCTATCTACATATCCCATTGTTTTTCTTACTTTCTTCTGAACTTGATCTAGGTTTCCCCTACTCTGGGATTCTCCCAGGCCCCGGAGAACAGTTATCATTATTTGAGAGCAAGGTTCTGCACCCCTCCCTTTCAAGGACCACCCGAAGGAAGGCCAAGGCCAGTGAGATCTTGTAAATCTCTCTAACAGGCTACCTACTCCCTACTTGCAAGTCTCTGGATCAGGCATAGCCCTGCTACCCTGGCCTGTGTCTTCCAACGGGTAATTCTGGAAGGCATTAGAACTTTTCCTAACCCTTTAAATCACTTTTGAAAAAGGATTTAGTTGTCATTTATCTTGGTACAAAGATGTAATGTGATGTCTTTGATTACTTTCTACACCTTGCTAGTACATTGTGTAGATGATTGGATGGCTTCTGAGCCACCTCACCCCTCTGACTCTCCCTAAATACCTACTTTCTCTGCCCACATCTTGTACCAAACAAAGCTGTCTCTCCATCCCCCACCTGGGCTCCTGTCCTGACCCTGGAACACAAACCACTCCAGATGCAGAGCCACAGGATTAATTAAAACCACCCCACACTGATTAAAGTCTTAAACTACAGTGCCAGGCATGCTAATTAACTGAGTGGGGGAATTCAGACCACAGGAAGAGGTGAAAAAAGAAAGTCATGGCACAAGGGGCAGGAGGGGAACTTCTGTTTAAAGAATAAATCAGATGACAACGTGACCTAAGCTATCATAATGATAAATGTTCTCAGAGATCACAAAAGACTGAGACCCGTCCCTTGGTCACTGGTCTCCAGGAGACATTCTGGCTACAGTATTTTTATTGCTTCTGGGGACAGGAGCCCCACAATTTCTCCATAAGCGCCTCCACTGTGCTGAGGGATAATGTGTTTCTTGGGCACAGCATTTAGGGTGAGGTCTGACAGTAGTTCTCTTGACACACTGTCCTCGCTTTGTGCAGAGACTTAGGCAGTATGGTAGTTCCTTAAAAGGTTAAACACAGATTACCATATGATCCCTTAATTTCACTTCTGGCTCCAACTCCAAAGAACTGAAAGTATGGTCTGAAAAACACATCTATATCCACATATTCATAGCAGAACTATTTACAATAGCTCAAAAGTAGAAGAAACCCAAATATTCATGAATCTAAGGATGGCTAAATAAAATACAGCATACACCTACAGTGTGGAATATTATTCAGCCTGAAAAAGGAAGAAAATTCTGGATGAATCACGAAGACATAGAGCTCAGTGCAACAGACCAGACACAAAAGGACAAATATATGATTCCACTTGGATGGGGCCTGTGGAGCAGAGAGATTCATAGAGAGAAGGTAGGATGGTCAAGGCTATACTTTCAGGGATCATTTGTGTATTTGGAGAAAGTAGAATGGCGATGTCCAGGGTCTGGAATGAAGGAGAAATGAGTTACTGTTTAACAGGTACAGTTTCATTTTGGGAAAATAAAGACAAGTGCAGGGGATGGATGGGGATGAATGTACTTAGCACCACAGAACCCTGAGAAAGACACAAAATGGTAAATCTCCTGTTATTAAATTTTTTACCACAATTAAAATTTTCGTTTCAAAAACAGTCTTCAGTGAACTTTCTCATGCAATCTCATGATCACCTTGGCAGACAGATGTGAAAACATCTGCTCTTAGCTCAGCTTCCTGGGCCAAGGCGCAAGCAGCTTTGTCAGTAGACTAATACATTGGTGTTTATGAACTATTCTGAGATCCTTCAGCGAAAAGATAG